TCAAAAAGAACATCTCAAGATCTGTCTTGAAATACTATGCTGTCTGTGATAGGATAATGTCCATATGCCTACAAGAAAGACGAGTCAGTATCAAGATTATTAAAATTTATGCACTAACCACTAAAGCCAGTGATGATGAAACTGAAGAATTCTACCAACTTCTTCAGTTTGAAATTGATCAAACATGCGATTAAGATGTATTGCTAATTACTGATGATTGGAATGCAAAGGTTGGAAACAAAGAGGAAGGATCATTCGTTGGAAAATATGACCTTGGTAAAAGAAAAGATGCTGGAGAAAGCATGATAGAATTTTGTAAGACCAATGACTTCTTCACTGCAAATATCTTTTTTCAAACAACATAAAAGATGGATTTCACCAGATGGAATACGCAGAAATCAAACTAATGTGTAGAAAGAGATGGTAGAAAGACTCCGTATCATCAGTCAAAACATGGTCAGAGGCAAACTGTGGATTGGACCATCAATTGCTTGTATGCAAGTTCATGTTGAAGCTGAAGAAAATTAAACAAGTCTGCGAGAGCCAAAATTTGACCTTGAATATATCCAACCTGAATTTAGAGATCATCTCAAGGATAGGTCTGATAAACTAGACACTAATAATTGAAGACCAGAAGAGTTGTGGGATGATATCAAGAACACCATACAAGAAGAAAGCAAAAGGTCATTAAGGAGAGAAGAAAGAAGGAAAAGACCAAAATGGAAGTCAGAAGAAACTCTGAAACTAGCTCTCCAGCTCAGAGCTGTTAAAGCTAATGGAAGAAATGAGGAGATAAAAGAGCTGAACAGAAAATTTCAAAGGGCAGTTTGAAGAGACAAAGTCAAATATTACAATGAAAAAGGAAAGAACACACATGACATTACTCAAGCTGAGGGAACTGAAGAAAAAATTGAAGCCTCAACTTCCAATATTGAATGACTCTGGTAGTGTAATGGTTATGAGTTGGGCTGTTAACTTCAAGGTCAGCAGTTTGAAACTGCCAGCAGTTACATGGGGAAAAGATGAGAATTTCTGCTCCTATAAAGATTTATAGTCTTGGAAACCCTGTACAGGGTCACTATGAATTGCAATTGACTTCACGACACATAACTAACCACCACCATTAACAATATATTTACTGATGCAGAAAGATGGAAGGAATACACAGAGTCACTGTACCAAAAGGAAATGGTTTATGTTCAACCATTTCAAGAGGTAGCATATGATCAAGAGCCAATGATACTGATGGAAGAAGTCCAAGGTGCACTTAAAGCATTGGCAAAGAACAAGGCTCAGGGAATTGATGGAATACCTATTGAAATCCTTCAACAAACTGGTGTGGCACTGGAGGCACTCATTCATCGATGCCAAGAAATTTGGAAGACAGCTACCTGGCCACATGATTGGAACTGACTCATATTTGTGCCCATTCCAAAGAGGTGACCCAAGGGAATGTGAAAATCGTTGGGCAATATCATTAATATCGTAAGCTAGTAAAATTTTGCTAAATATAATTGATAAACACCAGCATCACTACATTTACAGAGAGCTGCCAGAAGTTCAGAAGAAATGTGGAATAAGGCATATCGTTGCTGACATTAGATGAATATTGGCTGAAAGCAGAAAATAGCACAAATGTGTCTACCTCTCCTTTATTGACTGCATGAAGGCTTTTGGATGTGTGGATCATTACATGCTATGGACAACATTACTGAGAATGAATATTCCAGAACAATTAATTGTGCTCATGAGGAATCTGTACTTAGACCAAGAGGTAGTTGTTTGTACACAACAAGGGAACACTGAATGGTTTAAATCTAGAATGGAGTGGGCTAAGGTTGTATCTTTTCACCATAGTTATTCAATCTGTATGCTGAGCGCATAGTCCAAGATGCTGGATTATATGAAGAAGAAGGTGACATCAGGATTGGAGGAAGACTCATTAGCAACCTGTGATATGCAGATGATACAAGCTTCCTTGCTAAAAGCAAACAGGGCTTAAATACTTACTGATGAAAATCAAAGACCACAGACTTTGGTATGACTTGTACCTCAATGTAAAGAAAATTAAAATCCTCACAGCTGGACCAGTAAACAATAACAAGATATATGGAGAAAAGATTGAACTTTTCAAAGACTTCATTTTGTTCCAATCAACCATCAACATTCAAGGAAGCAGTAGTCAAGAAATCAAATGATGTATTGCATTAGGCAAATCTGCTGCACAAGACCTCTTTAAAGTGTTCAAGAGCAAAGACTTCAGTTTGAGGACTAAAGTGCACCTGACAGAAGTCATGGTATTTCAGTAACCTCATATGCATGTAAAAGTTGGACAATGAATAAAGAAGACCATAGAAAAATTGGTATATTTGAGTTATGATATTAAAGGAGAATATTAAAATACTGCCTCAAGAACAAACAAAGCTGTGTTGGGAGAAGCATAGCCAGAATGCTCTTTAGAAGCCAAGATAACCAGATTTTGCCTCTCATACTTTAGATATATTGTCAGGAGGGACCAGTCCCTGGAGAAGGACATCATGCTTGGTAAAATGGAGGGTCAGTGAGATGGACTGGCACAGTGGCAGCAACAAGGGGTCATGTGTAGCAATGATTGTGAGGTTAGCTCAGGAATGGGCAGTACTTCATTCTGTTGTGATCTGATTTGGTATCAACTTGACAGCAGTTAACAATTACAAATGGGTTGCACATTGGGCTGCTAACCACACTGTCAGCAGTTCAAATCCACCAGTAGCTCTGCAGGAGAAAGAGAAAGTTTTCTACTTCTGTAAAGATTTACAGCTTCAAAAATCCTACACAGGGTCAGTATGAATTAGAACTGTTTCAATGGTGATGAGTTTTTTTGTTTATTTTATATTGGTGTGGGGAGTCATTCTGATGTGGTGATGGTTTTCTTGAAACTTAGAAGAAAACTCTTCAATAGTAGGGGTACATGACCAAATTTTCACTTGTATCAGAAATCCACGGCTGCTACTTTTTTCTTAATTACATCCTGATCACTCGTCTCCAAAGCTTTTCTCCTTTTGGATTTCAGCTTAGATTTACTGTATTGCTTGATAAAATTTATAATTATAGCTAACATTTACTGAAGTACTTATTTTATACCAGGATTTATAAGCATTGTTGTTGTTTTTATTACATGCTGTTGAGTTAGTTCTGATTCATAGCGACCCTATATAGGGTTTCTGAGGAGTGGCTGGTAAATTTGAACCACTAACCTTGTGGTTGAAACCTACCTTGTGATTCAGTTCTTATCCTACAGTGCCACAATGTTAAGTATTTTGCTGGGGTCATAAGTCAGCAGTGGGTGGAGTTAATTCAACTCAAGATCTGTCTGACTCCAGAGGTCACATTGCTAACAATTCCACAATTGGGGTGAGACACACAAACATGAAATAGGTATTAAGTTCACAACCTTGCTTGCTCAGAGCATCTTGTGTGCATCACCTGACCAAGCTCAGTGAAGTCAATGCAGGTGCACACTACTCTTAGAACCAGTGGGAGTTACATTATCATTATTATTAGAGGTAGTCTTTAGCATTTCTATGGCACTGTATTCTTGCAAATTGCTGTATAGTTTATTTTCCTAAAAAGGATTAACAGATGCTTTGAAATACATAGTATATATATATATTTGGAGACATTTACATTGTCGATAAATGTACCAAAAAAAAAACAACCATTGCTGGTTACTGAGATCCAGTAACTAAGGTAATGTAGTGTTTTCCTAATTAAATCTGCTTAGTAAAGCAGAACACTCTCACTTTTCATTACAACTTCTAAAGCTTGAGAAACATAGCATTCTAATCAGAGATAAAAAAAAAAATGGGAAACTAAATCAATCAATCAATCAATCAGCAGATTTCAATTGTTGACAAACTTCATTGCATTAGAACTCTAATTTGATATCGTGTGAACTTTATTTGGTATTTGCTTTAGTTCATATTCTACTATAATCAGCCTTCTGTATAAATGCTTGGGTATCAGGCACTCATTGGGATACTTTCAGTATTATCCTTGTTCAACACACCTACACATTTCTAGTCATGTAGATTTTAAAAAATATTCAAGTATAAATAATCAAATGTCTGAATGAATCTTTCTTATATCAGCTGTGTGTCTTTTTGGGTTCAAGAGCTTCCAATTTTGTGCCAAATGGTGATTCTTTACTCTTGTCCAGGGACAGATAATCTTACTGGCCTCTTAGTATCAGCAAACAAAGAGCTTCACCTATAAAGTACAATCAAGCATCCAGGATGAGTTTATAATTTAAGTTCCATTTTCTAATGCCGCATTATTATTTGTGTGTGCATTTGATGATATTCGATGACACTAAATGTATGAAGTGGAATAAATGCCAAATTGCAATGAATTCCATTAATCCAGTAAGCTACGGTTAGTAATGGAAGTCTGACAATTAAACAATGACAACAACCCTTAAAATCATATGCCATCATTAAAGAAGCATACACAATCATCACCTCAAGTATTGTATATCTCTGTTGGGAATAATTGGATTCTGACATGGAAACAGCCTGACTTTAACTAGACAATTGAAAACAGTGCTTCTCTGAACCTTCAGTCCTGGATTATCAGGGTGTTAAATTGAAGAATTTAAAATTACAGACCCTTACAATTGAATAAAACCTGTAAGAGCAATACAATAAACTTCCATACAAATCCCAGGAGTAATAACAGTTTTTTTTTTCTTCTGTATCTTTTAATTCTGCCTGATACAGCTTCTCGGGTCCATAGGGACCCAATTCTGGGGGAAAAAATAAAAAGAAAGGAACAGGTTTTTGCTATCCAAACCACTTAGAAAAAATTAGAACAATTTTCTCAGAGTTTCGATTTTTAAAAATAAGAGTGGGTATGGAGTTTTAATGCATAATCTTAGAGAACCGCAGAACAAAAAGCTGATTAAATAATCTTCCACAAATAAAACGTGTGCTAAATTAGAAATGAAAAGACAAATTACTTACCCTGAAATGTTCTTCTAATTTCTGATACTGGATAGTTTAGTAACTCAGCTCCTGCAGTCATTTACTAACAGTAGATATACCCAAGCAAGGCAAACTTTGCCTTCCTTAGGACACAGAAACTGTGGAAATGCACAGAAAGAAAAATGACACATATTTGCCTCTAAGGTGAAATCACTTGTGTGCTGCTATTCCAGCTTTCCTATTATATCTTACTGCATGTTTCATAGCTGCTTTCGAATGCATCTGCTTTCTCTAGAGGCTTTGGGAGGGACCCTAAACTAACGCTGCTCGGGTCAGCTGCTCAGAGACTCTGTCCTTGGTGCTGAAATAGAGGTGGTGGAAGCAGGATCGGGTTTTTAAAAATCTCTCCTCTTCTTTCTGTGCCTCTGTCTGCTCTGATACTATGCTTTTTAGTTCATGTGTATTTTTTCTTTCAGTGCTCCTTTTAACCCTAATTTTCTCACTCTCTTTCTATCTATGCTTTAATTTCTCTTGAGTAACTCACTTTTCTCAGTTTAATTGTCTTTCCAGCTTTTAGTGAGAATAAAGACAGTGGGTTCAGAAGAAAGAACAGATCAACAAATTGATACCACAAGTGGTTAATGGAAATCATCACAATTTAAAACACAATTGACAGTATAATTGAACTTGAAGGTATACGCTTGTCTGGAGAAAAGAGGTTAAAGAAAATATATTACAGTTGAAGCAAAACCAAGGCATGGAATACAGCTGGTGATAAAGATAAAACAAGCTTAATATTATGAGAAATGTTAAATGTTTATTTTTTAGTACTTCTCGTCAGAGAACTTCACCAACATTTGCCAATTTATCCTTACTGTTCTTATTTGATATCTGTGTGCATTTTTTCTTAATCCAGCTTTAGAACTGGCTAAGGTGAGATACAACCAACTGCAGTCGGTGGAAGTCAGTATCTGAAGCAGCACTAAACTTGCTGTTGTTGTTGTTAAGTGCCATTGAGTAGATTCCAACTTACAGCAACCCTGTATTTCCAAGGTGTGTTTGAGGATGTAAATGGACAATCTTTTGGATAGCAGTACAGTGTTTATCCTACAGTGCTACACCAGGATTCTGCACAAGAACTTGTTGTTGTTAAGTTCTATCAAATCAGTTCCAACTCATAGAGACCCTGTATAGGTTTTCTGAGGAGCAGCTGGTGGGTCTGAATTAGTTACCTTGTGGTCTGCAGTCCAATGCTTTTCCTATAGCACCATACCAACACTAGAACTAAGACAGTCCTAATTCAGAATCACAAAAATTCATGGTTCTACTAAAAATTTCCCATAGAATCCCAAATATCCCCTCCTTTCTTGTCTTCAATTTCTTCCTCTTCTTTCAGACAGGATGGTAATCTTTCATTATGTTTGCTTCCAACAGTGAATGTGCTTGCTAGCTGCAGTGCAGACTGTCATGGGAAGGGGAGTCCTAGTTTGACTATGATGAAGACCTTTCCTAGCTGGCAAAGAGGCAGAAGTCATGAAAAGGTCTAAATAGAGCATGTACTATTGGATAAAGACAGTCATTTAAATTCATTCCCTATTTCAATCCTTTCAACAACCCTTGTTATTGTTGTTACTCAGTGCTGTGGAGTTGTTTCACACTCATAGCAACCCTATGTACAACAGAGTGAAACATTGCCTGGCTTGTGCATTCTTCACAGTTATTGCTATGTTTCAACCCACTGGTTCAGCCACTGTGTCAATTCATCTCATTGAGGGTCTTTCTCTTTTTAGCTTACCAAGAATGATGTCCTTATCCAGGGACTGGTTCATCCTGATAGCATGTTCAAAGTATATAAGACAAAGTCTTGCCACCCTTGCTGGTAAGGAACATTCTAGTTGTACTTCTTCCAAGACATTTGTTCATTCTTCTGGCAGTTGATGGCATCATTCAATATTCTTCTCCTAGTGAATAATTCAAATGAATTAATTCTTTTTCAGTTTTCCTTATTAATTTTCCAGCAATTGAATATGAGGTGATTGAAAATGCAATGGCATTTCAGGCACTTGAATCCTCAAAGTGATATCTTTACACTTTAACCCTATAAAGAAATCTTTTGCAGCAGATTTGTTTGATTTCTTGACTGCTGCTTCCATGGACTTTGATTGTGGGTACAAATAAAATGACTTTTTATTTGGAATCAAAATAAACACTAGACAATTTCAATATTTTCTCCATTTGTCACAACTGGTCCAGTTGTGAGGATTCTTTCCCCGTCCCCTAATGTTATAGTGTAACCCATACTGAAGGCTGTAGTCTTAGAGATTGATCTGTAAGTGCTTCAAGTCCTCTGCTCCAGCAAGTAAAATATCATCTGCACATCGAAGGTGCTTAATGAATCTACCTCCAATCTTGCTGCTGAGTTCTTCTTCCTATAGTCCAGTTTCTCTGATTATTTGCTCAGTATACAAATTGAAAATGTATGGTGAAAGGATAAAAACCCTGATGCATTCCTTCTTTGATTCTAAACCACACTGTATCCCCTTGTTCTGTTCAAATGATTGCTTCTTGGACTATGTACAGGTTCTCCATGAGCACAATTTAGTGTTCTGGAATACCCAACTTTTGCACTGTTATCCATAGTTTGTTATGAGCCTCACTTGTATTATCTGTTTTCAGTCAAACTCCACTTGACATCAACTAGTTCCATGTCTTCTTCTGAATCCAGCTTGGATTTCTAGCAGTCCCCCTGTCAAAAAAATTGTCAAAACTATTGCAACCACTTAAAAATTGTCTTCAGCAAAGTTTTGTTTGTATGTGATATTAATGATATTGTTTGATAGTTTCTGCATTCTGTTTAATCACTTTTCTTTGAAATAGGCACAAATATGGGTGTCTTCTAGTCAGTTAGCTAGATAGCGGTCTTCCAAACTTCTTGGCATAGATGAGTGAACATATCTAGCATTACATTTGTTTGTTGAAACATCTCAATTAGTATTCCGTCAATCTTGTTTTCTGCCAAAGCCTTCAGAGAAACTTGGACTTCTTCCCTTAGTGCCATCAGTCCTTTTTTTTTTTTTTTTTTAAGCGTTTATTGTGAATTGAGTGATAATTTACATGGGAGAACATTGGTTTTTGCACTCATTCGATCATATTTTATTTCATTGCAATGATTCAATCCCTACCATGCATCATCATTTAGCAGTATTTGCTTCTATTCTCTCTGTTTTGTTTTGATTTTTTTTAATGCACACAGAAACACTCAGGAATATATAATCATTTAAACAACCAAAGGACACATTCTGCAAGCCAGCACATTCTGCAAGGGCACACAGCTTCTCTCTTTCCATGAGTCTATAGTCCTCATTCCATGCCATCACCTCTGACTCCATCTCTGGTGTTGCTGCTTCTCGGGTTAGGGTCCCATGTTCCTCCCATGCTCTTACAATGATTATAATCTCCTCCATGTACCATCAGTTAACAGTATTTCTCTGTATTGATTTTAGTTCTTCTGTTCTTCTAGCCACTCCAGGCTGGTTTGCTTGTCCTTTAAAGTGGAGAATTCCCACCTCAGAAGATTCTGGATGGGGTTTAAGATTCCACCTATGGTCTTATGCAATGCAAAGGTTCTGCAGGTAGCCTCCTTCACTGGGCAAGTTGTAGCCCATTTTAGGTATACCGATCAGTTATAGGCAGAAGATGGACTTATAAGCTTTCTATGGTGATATTTCTGGCTATTCCTTTCTCTCCCGCTTAAGTGTCTATTTTATAATGATATACCAGAGAACCAAGATTCAAAAGACAAC